GGGGGGGGGGGAATTAGGTACAATCCCTTTAATGTTGCAAGGAGCCAAATGTGGTGGCACATGCCTGTAATCCCAGTACTCAGGAAGCAGAGGCAGGAAAATCAGGTTCACCCTTGGTGTGAGCAGGTAAAGCCAGCTCAGGCTATGGGACTGTGTCTCAAAATCAAATGATGCCAGGTTGGGAGGTTAGAACACTTGTGTAGCACGTACAAGGCACTGGGGTCTTTAATCCTAGCACCGTAAAATAAGTAAACAGGTAAACTGTTGAGTAAAAAGAGGATGCAGATGAAATACTGTCTGTGTCCATGTGCCCTTGAAAACGATGGCAGGATGGACTCTGCTATCACTTGTTAGAAAGGATAGCTGTACCCAGAGGCAGATCTGAGAGGAAGGTGGATATTTTGCACTTTAGATACTACTAAGAACAAATAATTTATTTGGCAAATTGTGTCTTATATGTTTTATGTTTTTCCTTTTCCATTTTGTTTGGTTTTGGTTTTGTATTGTGAACAGGCACTAAAGCTAATGTTATTTTGTTTTAAGAATATTACAGACTGGAAACAAATAAACTATTTTAATGTGTGATGGCTCTGGGGCACCTCTGGTACTGCACGATGATTTCCTCATGGATGATTATGAGAATTGTATGCCACTCATATGCTTTTAGTCACAGCAGGCACGGGAGATGGCGGGCATTGAGGAGCTGTCAGCCTAAAGGCAGATAATGCAAACCGAGTTGTACAGAGAAGGTTAGGAGGGTCCCTCAGGGCCAGCTGACAGCATTTGGTTTAGTCTTTACCCCTAGTCTTGTTTGAGGTGAAGGGCAAGGATGTGGTCTTACTCTGTAGACCAGGTTAGCCTCAGACTCATGGATTTCCCCTGCCTCGGTGCTGAGGTGGCAGGTGGTGCCCACCACACTCAGCTTGCAGGCTTCACTGCAGAGGCTTTTACTAGGTCCTCGAGAGTGCTGTCTGCTTCTCTCTCACGAGTTCACAGTAACCTAACCCAGATGCTGCCATGAGCTCCTCTGAGGAGCACCACTGTGAAGACGGGCGCTGTGGAGATGGAATGTCTGCACAGCCCTACTTCCCGGGCCTTTCTCATTTATCACCTCCTTCTCTGTGTTCTCCACCTTCTATCAAAGGGAACAAAATTAAAGCAGTACAGACTGGCCAGATGACTGGTTTTGGTTTTCTAGCAGAGTCTGGTATTCTTGCTGTATAGCCCTTGTTGGACTCCAATGTGTAGCAATCCTCCTGCCTCAGTCTCCCAACAAGTGTTGGAACTACAGGTGTGTGCCAGGGTGCACCACCAGACCTGGGGCTGCTGTATTGCATGGGTCAATGCTTCTCCTTTGAAATGTGAACTTTGACCGGACGGTGGTGACACACACCTTTAATCCCAGCACTTGGGAGGCAGAGGCAGGCGGATTTCTGTGTTTGAAGCTAGTCTGGTGTGGGAAAAATTTAAGAAGGCCGCCACAGCGGTGCAAGCCCCGGAGGGGCTTCCGCCGCCGTGGCGGGTCCCACATCAGGGAAGAAGATCCTATGGTTCCAGCGGCCTGAGGGCCTTGGCGGCGGCAGGCCCCAGTAACACGAGGAAGTCCTTGGTTCCAAAAAGGTTTATTGTCATGGCGGATAATAGATGGATCTAGGCGTAGCCCCCAAAAACTCAGGGCAGTCCCGAGTTATATTGGGGGAGGATCTGGGGGGAGGAATGTTTAATTTGCTCTGCCCTCTGGCCTTCATTAGTATGTAAATCTGTAGGGCCTGAGGCCTATAGCCTGGCCTATGTGACTCTATGGAGATCTATGTGACTGCTTTTCAGGATCCTAGATGATGGGAGGGACCGAACTCCTGCCGGTTCTCACGCAGAATTCCACGGAGAATCTCGGGGTTCTAAGCACCTGCTCAACCATGACCCAGGATACCCTTACGCAGTCCCACAGCCTGGTCTATAGTGAGTTCCAGGACAGCCCGGGCTACACAGAGAAACCCTGTCTCGAAAAACCAAAAAAAAAAAAGAAAGAAAGAAAGGAAGGAAGGAAGGAAGGAAGGAAGGAAGGAAGGAAGGAAGGAAGGAAGGAAGGAAGGAAGGAAGAAAAAAAGAAAAGAAAGAAATGTGAACTTTGGCCAGGCAGCAATGGCACACACCTTTAATTCCAGCACTCGGGAGGCAGAGGCAGGCGGATATCTGAGTTTGAGGCTATCCTGGTCTACAGAGTGAGTTCGGGACAGCCAGGGGTACACAGAGAAACCCTGACTCGCAGAATAAGCTTGGGTGGGAAGATGACACGGCTCATCAGTTAAGAACACTCACTATCACAGAGGACTCTGATCCAGTTCCCTGCACCCACTGGTGGCTCCCAGCTGTCTAACTCTCCAGTTCTAGAGTTCAGTCCCGTACCCCCTTCTGAACTCCACAGGCACACAGTGGTACACATGCACATACCCAGACACACGTACAAATTAAATAAGTGCTTTAATGTTAGGGAGGAAAGAGGAGCTGTTTGGGTTAGTGTTCCGAAATGTCCTTGTATGCAGCCAGGTGACACTTCACAGAAAGCTTTCTTTGGTCCTTGCACTGCTTGCTCAAAAGTTCTTGAGGCTTTTTCAGGACACAGTCTGTTGTCTTCAGGAACATAGACTCAGACAGTTGTCACTTTGGGGAGAGCACAAAGCATCTCAAACAGCAGGTTAGCTGCTAGGAGGGCTGTGTTGCCTAGAAGGAAGAGAAAGGCAGAAGCTGACACACACCTCCCCAAAGTTCACTCTCCAGGACTCTAGCCTTCTTCCCAGAGCCCTGGCTTCTGAGCCCGGGGTGCCATCTGCCTATGAACATCCCTTCAGCCCCTACCAAGCATCTTTTGGAGACTGAGAAGTCTGAGGGACCTTTGATACTAACGGCTGCTCAGGGGCCACCCTCAGGCCAGTAGGCCTAAACAGAAGCTTTTTTCTTTCTTCCACAGTTAGAACTACAGGAGTGACATCTGCTTTGCCCAGGTGTCAGTCGAAACCACCCCCTACTTCACAGTAAAGCATGCTTTGCAGATTTGCTTCTCAATTAAACATCAAAGGCGATGCCACTGAGCCACCCTGTCACTAAGCAGCAGCACCTGGCACCTCCCGAGGGGGTTGTTCCTTGCATTAGCTCATGCTCGTTGGGTTTGTGGTAACAGGCTTCTTTCTTCACTGCTGGACATTCTCTACAAGGTTCTTGGCGGTGATCATGGAGGCCTAACTCCACCTGCGGATCATTCTTCCTCTTCACTCACCAGAGAGATCGTATGGTGGGGAGACTTCCACGAGATCGCAGCCCACCACATTTAGGCCTTGGCAGCCCCGGATGATCTCTAGAGCCTGTCCAAGGTGAAGGTGACAGTCACTTCCAATGAAAAGCAACCACTTGGGAAGCAGAAGCCCATAGATCTCTGAGTTCAAGACCACACTGGTCTACAGAGCAAGTTCCAGGACAGCAAAGAAAGAAGAAGAGGAGGAGGAGGAGGAAGAAGAGGGAGTAGGAGGAAGAAAAGGGAAGAAGAAAGGAGGAAGAGGAGAAGGAGGAGAAAAGAAGAAGAGGAGAAAGAGGAGGAGGAGGAGGAGAGGAGGAAGAGCAGCTTTGGGGTAGAGCACTTGCTTAGCATTTGTGAGGCCCAGGTTTAATCCCTAGCTACAAAACAAAAATTAGAAAACCACAGACAAACAGCTCAAAGCAATGCCTCATTTCTACAGTCAGCCCTGAGGACATATTCATGACAACCTCATTACATTGTGAAATGACATTAAGGTCTACAAATTTCGGGCTGGAGAGATAGCTCAGTGGTTAAGAGCACTGACTGCTCTTCCAGAGGTCCTGAGTTCAATTCCCAGCAACCACATGGTGGCTCACAACCATCTGTAATGAGATCTGATGCCCTCTTCTGGTGTATCTGAAGACAGCTACAGTGTATTCATATAAATAAATAAACCTTTAAAAAAAAAAAAAAAAAAAAAAAAAAAGGTCTACAAATTTCATGCTCACGAACCACACAGTCCAGTTTTGTTTTGTTTTTTAATATGTTAATGTTTCAAGGAAGTCTACAATTTTGTGTTGGGTGATAGCCACAGCTATCCTTAGCCAAAGAAAAAAGTATCCTGAGTCTTGAAGATTACAGGGCTTAGGCAACTGTAGTATGAAGGATACACCCTTGGCAGGGTGGTAGTGGCACACACCTTTGATTCCAACACTTGGGAGGCAGAAGCAAGCAGATCTCTGAGTTTGAGGCTAGCGTAGTCTACAGGAGTTCCAGGACAGCCAAGGCTGTCTCAAAAACAAAAAACAAAACAAACAAACAAACAAACAAAAATATCCACTAGTTACGAGTGCTTGTTGCTTTTGCAGAGAAGCCAAGTTTGGTTCACAGCACCCACATTAGGTGGCTTCCACCCTCCTGTAAATCCAGCTCCACAGGGCAGAGGGATCTGATGCTTTTTCTGGCCTCTGTGAGAACTTGGGCACACAGGTGTGCTCTCTCTCTCTCTCTCTCTCTCTCTCTCTCTCTCTCTCTCTCTCTTTCTCTTTCTCTCTCTTACACGCACACATACACAGACACACACACAGGGGGTGGGGGGAGAAAGGGAAGCATGAATGGAGTGGAAGACACATACATAAATACCCAGGAATTCACTTGGGAAGCCCACTTACCTGACTAGGGGTGAGCCCGGCAATTTCCGGTGTCCCTGTCCCCGGGGCATAGGCAGGGTCCAAGGCGTCTATGGCAAAGCTGATATAAAGAGGTGTGCCCCCCATCTGCTGCCTGATCTCTGCCATCAGTGGGACCAGTGACTTCATCCAGCAGTCTTCAGCCAAGACCACACGGAAGCCCTGTGCAGACCAAAAAGTTGGAGGTGATAGCTGACCCCAGGATTTGCGTAACACATGTATATCACATCTGACCGCAGCTTCCGTGAGGGGGACCAGTCCGCCCTCTACTGACCGAAGTTAGGAAGCGAGGTCAAGGCTGACCTGAGTGCTGGAATGATAAAAGGAGCTTTGCTAAAACCAAGTGTGAGAAACTTGGTCAGTGTGCTTCTAGCTGCTTCTGTCCAGAACACTGGTCTCGCCACTCTAAAACCAAAGGACCGGACAGTTGAGACAGCTCAGCTTTGGAAAAGGTACTTGTTAAAAGCAAAGGACAATGAAGGAGATGTGGCAACCCACACCTTTAATCCCAGCACATGGAGGGAGAGGCAGGGGGATCTCTGTGCATTGGGGGCCAGCCTGGTCTACAGAGTGAGTTCCAGGACAGCCAGGGCTACACAGAGAAACCCTGTCTCGAAAAAACCTAAAAAAAAAAAAAAAAAAAAAAGAATCAATACTCTTGGGGGCTGGAGAGATGGCTCAGCAGTTAAGAGCACTGATTGCTCTTCCAGAGGTCCTGAGTTCAAATCCCAGCAACCACATGGTGGCTCACAACCATCCGTAATGAGATTGAATGCCCTCTTCTGGTGTGTCTGAAGACAGCTACAGTGTACTCATAAATAAAATAAATTAAAAAAAAAAAAAAGAATCAATACTCTTGCCACATGACTCACTTGGTTCAAACTTGAGCTTTTCATCTCCCCTTGCTTTTGTGTGTGTGTATGTGTGTGTGTGTGTACACAAGAGACAGTATAGCACCGGCATGCACACTTTTGGAGTCATTTCTCTGCTTCCACAATGAGGGTGCTGGGGATCAAACTCAGGTTGTCAAATTTAGTGGCAATCCTCCTTATTCTGTGAGCCATAGTGCCAGCCCATTTCTGGTTTTATCCTCAAACAAGGTCTCCTGTAGGCCAGGCTTGCCAGGAATTCAATCTGAAACTGTGAGTGGTGTTGCACTCTTGAGGCTTGGGCTTACAGACCTGTGCTGCCACATGTAGCCCCAGCCTCACTTTCTGAACTTCAGTAAAGCACTGTTGAGTCCCCCTTTGACAAGGCAGAAGACACTCTTCGGGACAGAGAGGGGCGTGCATCCATCACCTGGCTCCGACTGTATCTGTAGGGATCCAGTGTCCTGGAGGAGCCCCGGATGCCTATCTGGACCACTCGTTTGCAGTCCAGCAGTCCTTCATCCACACTTCGGCGGAAAGGTGTCCGGTGGTAGACCTTCTCCTCCAGATGTTTGTCCGTGGTGTTAGTGTGGGCACCCACATGCACTAAACCCACAGGGCCATGCCTGGGGACAAAACAGCATCTCAGAGGTCAGAGGTCCTGGCATCAGCTGCCTGCCTTGCATCTGTGTTCTGTGTTCAGCTCACCTAGGAGAAACCAGGCAGAAGCAGACACAACTGGCCTGCAACCAAGAGTTTCAGAGAGGACAAGAGCTCAGGATAGAGCTCTGTGAAGGCTAAACCAGTTAGAGCCACCTATTCTCCAGTTAAGGCACCAACAGGATGTTCTGAGCCTGTTCCCCTCCATCAGCCCTGCTGGACACGACAGATGCTCTCAGTCCATGCTAATAGGAAGCTAGAACAGCTTGAGACAAGACTGACTCCACCCCCACGCAGAGTCACGATGCTACCCACATACCCCTCCACCCCAGTTACAGTGTTATCCATGTGCCCTCCCAGAATGCCCAATCAGAATGCTGCCCACATGGCGTCCCTAAAACAAATTATGAAGCTCCCACCTCCCTTCCTCCCTCTACCCTCCTCCAACTAAGTCAGCCAAAGCTGATTGGTATCAGTAGACTTGCATCTACTGAAAAATCTAGTTTCTGTTGTCAAGGCAAGGAAGGAGTCTATGGGGTTGGGGGTGGGGAACAGGGCCTCCCTCTGTCAATATTTTATATTTGGCTTGCATAGAAAAACAAATAGAAGGTAGTTAGGTTTGTATGTCTCACTTGGAACTCATGGGCTAACTGAAAATGCAGAGGGTGTGTGTGTGTGTGTGTGCCAAGAGAAAAGGTGCCAAGCTGATGACTGATAGACACACATGGAGTCCAGCCTTAGTTTTGAGCCACAGAAAAAGCTCCCAATAACCTCCCATAACCTGCACCCACAGTGGTCACTTGATGTCACCTAGTAGCAACCTGGACCTTAGCTCCTGAGTGTCGCAACCTTGGGACTTACTTCTTTGCCACGGCTTGCAGTATGGGATATGTGATTGTATGGTCTCCACCTACAGAGAGAAAACAGAAGACGTCTGCAAACACCAGCAAGACCATCACGCGCAACAGTCCTTAAGTCCCCAACACTGCCACCCTTCGGGTATACCACAGAACTGTATCTACAGCTAAATGGCCATGGGTGGCATTTTAAACCCAAAACGCCTTCCCCATCTATTAGATGGTATTTGATCACACTGTAAGATTGTGTTGTTTACTGGAAAAAGCTGTTACTAGTTGTCCTGTGGCTCAGCCTTAGCACACACCTTTAATCCCAAACAATGAAGGTAAAGCTAGCTTGTAGAAGGAAGCACCCATGTTTGAAAGTGATGTCAAATTGAGTGGGAGACAAAGTGACAAATCAGAGAAAGATCTGACAGATTAGGATACACCCAACTCTCAGGAGAACAGAGTAGTAACTTAAGAGAGAGCAGTGCAGAAGAGAGAGGCAGTTTTCATGGGACAGTTATACAGAGACAGATTGCAGAGAGAACAAGCTAGACACAGATGGAGACAGAATGGGCCAGAGAATGAGAAGGAGCCAGAAGATTTGAACAGATTGTCAAAGTTAGTATGAGGCCAAGCAGAGCAATTCAGTCAGAAGCCAAGAGGAGCCAGTTTGAATCAGTCAGCTTAGAGAGGTGTTTGAGCCAGAACAACTGAATTGAACTAGCCAGTCAGAGCTCAGAAAGAACAAGCTTATTCATCAGCAATTCTCATAGGCTGAAAACATTCTAGGCCTAGATAAGATTGTATAGAAGCTTCCAGGACTAGACCTAGGTTAGCAGATGGAGGCACCAAGCCTCCAAGACAACAATTACATCTGTGGAATCAAAGTTACTCTTACAACCATCATCAGCAGAGACTGGAGCTGGAGCGATGGCTCAAGCACGTACTGCTCGACAGGCATCCTTCATGTGGGGGCAGCTCACAAACCATCCAGAATCCCAAATCCAGGGGACCAGCACCTCTGGCCTTCACAGGCACCGGCACTCACGTGCACAAACCCACACTCAGGCACATAAGGGGAAATTACATAAATCAACGCTTATGAGTTGTTTTACAAAGTGACTGTGCCCTATGGCTCTCCCCGTGATGGAGTGAATGGCCTGTGCCTGCATTGCCTGATATGGTAGCTGAGGATCCTACTTTACCTTTGTTTTGGCTTTTGTGTGTCTGTCTGTCTGTCTGTCTGTGTGTGTGTGTGTCTGTCTGTCTGTCTATGTCGTCTGTGTGTGTGTGTCTGTGTGTGTGTGTGATGTGTGTGACTGATAGCCTGTGTGTGGAGATCAGGGGAGAACTTGAGTCAGTTCCCTCCTACAGTATGTTCCAGGGATCAAATTCAAGAATTTTTACACACAGAGTCATCTCTATGTCTCAGGTATTTTTACTTTAACTTTTTGGTAAAGATTTATTTATTTTTATGTGTTTAAGTGTTTTGCCTGCATGTATGTCTCTGTACCTCATTTATGTCTCCTGTCCTCAGAGGTCAGAAGAAGACCTTGAGTCCCCTGGAACTTGAGTTATCAGTTAATGACTGAGAACTGAGAGACTTGAACCTGAATCATCTACAAGAACAGCCAGTGTTCTTAAGTCCTGAGCCATCGCTCCAGCCCAGGACTTTAATTTTAACAACTGCCCTATTTATTTGTTTACTTGTTTATTAATTTTGCACTGGGGGTTAAACTCAGGGCTCCACACATGCTAGGCAAGTGATCCACCACATTGACCTCTTCTTCTGTCCTTTGTTTTTGTTTGTTTGGTTTTTGTTTTTTTTTTGTTTTGGTTTTGGTTTTTCGAGACAGGGGTTCTCTGTGTAGCCCTGGCTGTCCTGGAACTCACTCTGTAGACCAGGCTGGCCTCGAACTCAGAAATCCGCCTGCCTCTGCCTCCCACATCTTTTTTAAGAAATAATTTTGAGAACTGGTTGACATAGTTGCTGAGTGCTGAACTCAAGTCTTCTCTTAACCACAGTAGCACTTCTCCAGCCGTGCACAGGAAGAGTTTTGACCATACTTACACCCCACTTCCCCCCCTCTATCCCCTCCTACTCCCTCTGCAACCATCCTTTCCAACACAACCTTCTTCCAGCTTTATGCCTCCCCCTCATCCCCTTAGGATTTATTATATGAATGTGAGGACACTGTCGCTCTCTTCAGACACACCAGGAGAGGGCATCGGATCCCATTACAGATGGTTGTGAGCCACCATGTGGTTGCTGAGAATTGAACTCAGAACCTCTGGAAGAGCAGTTGGTGCTCTTAACCGGTGAGCTATCTCTCGAGCCCTGTGTGCCATTTCCTCCTCCTCCTCCTTAAAAAATCTCACTGAGTTTAGTGTCAGGTCCAAAGAAAACTCCATTTCCTAAATTCTAGTGGTCTGACAGAAGCCAGCATGCCTCAGGAACTTATGAACTGGTTCCCCTCTACCGAATGGAGCCATTTCCCTCCCTGCTGACAGAAGGACAGACGGCTGATGCCATTTGTGGTACCTGTGAGATAAGCCCGTGCTGGCCTCCAGGCTCCCTCAGATGCTGTTCCTCACTTCACAGTCAATGCTAACATCCCAGACTTCTTAGCTCTTTCCTCCCCTCCCCTACACTTCCCCAGCTCACAGGTGTCCTTCCCCAGCTCCTCAGTCTCCTTATAGCCCTGCTGTTTCTTCGGCACCACCCCTTCTCTTTTGTCCAGTCGCTTGGTTTTCTTTTTTTTTTTTTTTTTTAAAGATTTACTTATTTTTTTATTTTATTTATGAGTACACTGTAGCTGTCTTCAGACACACCAGAAGAGGGCATCCAAGCTCATTACGGATGGTTGTGAGCCACCATGTGGTTGCTGGGATTTGAACTCAGGACCTTTGGAAGAACAGTCAGTGCTCTTAACCGCTGAGCCATCTCTCCAGCCCCCTTGGTTTTCCTTTCTTGTCTCTCTCCCTCACTCTTCCTCTCCTCCCCAACCCCTCTTTTGCAGGTTATATTCAATCTTCCTTTTACCAGTGTTCTGAACTCTTCCAGATGTCTCTGACCTCTCTCTCTTATCTACAGTAACCAGTAACCTCACCACGGAGCGGACATGTTATCAGTTACATTCAGTGTTTCTTGTCCGTATCTAGGTATGGAGGTATGCTGTTATTTGCTGGAACTGTCTTTTTATTATTTTTTCCTTCACTTTTTTGAATCTTGTGACAGGATCTCACCAAGTTGCCCAGGCTAGTCTTGAATTCACTCTGCCGTACAAACTAGCTTTGAACTTGTGATCCCCATGCCTTAGTCTCAGGGATACATAAGAGTATAGGCTACCCTGCTGAGCAATATAGGCTTAGGGTAAGGATTAGGTTTTTTTGTTGTTGCTATTTTGTTTTGGTTTTTGTTTTTTTTTTTGTTGTTTTTTGTTTTTTCGAGACAGGGTTTCTCTGTGTAGCCCTGGCTGTCCTGGAACTCACTCTGTAGACCAGGCTGGCCTCGAACTCAGAAATCCGTCTGCCTCTGTCTTGTTTTTTGTTTTTTTTTGTTTTGTTTTTAGAGACAGGGTTTCTCTGTGCAGCCCTGGCTGTCCTAGAACTCATTCTGTAGACCAGGCTAGCCTCGAACTCTCGAACTCAGAAATCTGCCTGCTTCTGCCTCCCAAGTGCTGGGATTAAAGGCGTGCGCCACCACTGCCCGGCTTTTTTCTTTTTCTTTCTTTCTCTCTTTCTTTCTCTCTTTCTCTCTTTCTCTCTCTCTCTCTTTCTTTCTTTCTTTCTTTCTTTCTTTTTGTTGTTTTTTTTTTGTTAAGGATTAGTATTGATCATTCTTGACAGTAACAATAGCTAAGTTAAAAAAAAAAAAAAAAAGCCGGGCGGTGGTGGCGCATGCCTTTAATCCCAGCATTTGGGAGGCAGAGGCAGGCGGATTTCTGAGTTCGAGGCCAGCCTGGTCTACAGAGTGAGTTCCAGGACAGCCAGAACTACACAGAGAAACCCTGTTTAGAAAAAAAAAAAATAGCTAAGTTATACTGAGGCAAATATTCAAAACACAGAGAAGAGCTGGTGAACTTTGTGCCCTACCCATAATGCAGTGAAATAACCCAATGTCTATCACTCTACCTGTAGACAGATGAAGCCAAGCACCTAGAAGCACAGATCAGACTATGAAACAGCTTGTGAGATCTGGGTTGAGTTGCCAAAAACTGGTGGCCTGAAGCCTCCCTCTCTACTCTGCCACACTCAGTAACTAGGCCATCCAAATTAACAAAAAATAATAGGAATATATTTAAAAAAAAAAACACTCACATTGTTTAAATTTGTGAAGCAAAGTAGAGAGGAAGAGGAACCAGTACCCTGTACATTGATGCAAGTCCTGACCATTCAATGTACCCTCTGGAGGGCAAGCGAGATGGCTCAGCCAGGAAGGGTGCTTGATGCCAAGGCTGATGACCTGTGTTTGATCGCCAGGACCCACGTGGTAGAAGGAGACAACTCTAGAGTTGTCTTCTGACCTCTATATGTGTGCTGTGACACATATGTGTGCGTAGACACACACTAAGTAAATAAATGTAAGAAGAAAAGAAAAAAGTAAGGAAACAAAAAGAAAGACTCTCTTGCAATTCTCACAGTCACTAAAAACGTTTTTGTCTGTGAAGCTGAGAAACCACAGCCGAGTCCTTGTTGATAGCCTTCTCTAGGTCTTGGATGGAGGACTGGGAGGAGGGTGAGGGAGGAAGGTGACAGGGCTGAGATGGAGGACTGGGAGGAGGGTGAGGGAGGAAGGTGACAGGGCTGAGATGGAGGACTGGGAGGAGGGTGAGGGAGGAAG